GATCACCTTCAGCATGCTGGTCTTCTGCAGTGTCTGGATCTCCTTCGTGCCCACCTACCTGAGCACCAAAGGGAAATACATGGTGGCTGTGCAGGTCTTCTCCATCTTGGCCTCCAGTGCTGGCCTGCTGGGCTGCATCTTCATTCCCAAGTGCTACATTATCATCTTGAGGCCTGATTTGAACACAAAAAAACAAATAACAGGAAAAAGGTAAGCATATCAACCTTTTTTTTTAAAAAAAATAAAATAAACCTCCTTAATGCTTTATAATCTGATCTCTTGCTCTAAACCCGGTGGACTAGCACTGGGCCATGGCATGCCAGAAACCGGTCCGCGCAAACAAAGCCCCATCCGTGGGATGCAGGCAGTACATGAAACCACGCCCCCTCCAGTCCGCAAAAAACCCTCTCTCCACGGAACCGGCCCCTAGTGCTCCAAAGGTTGCAGACCTCTGCTCTAAACTGTATCCCCAGTTTGGCCTCCACTTAAAACTATAGTCACGTTAAGACTTCCAATGCTGTTTGTAGGAAACAGTTCCTCTTTTCAATCAAACTAAGAGTCTGGAAGGCATATCTTGTTGGGGAAAGGACCCCAGTTTGAAGAAAAGTGAGTGGCCTTCAGCTGTCCCCTGTGAGCAGTAATTTTAGCAGCAACAAGGTATTAAAGGACCTTTCCAAACTAAACTTTGCAGCCAGCCTTCTCAACTTCCTTGGTGATTGATGGTTCCTGATAGGTTTCAGAGAGAACTGGGAATTTTACCTGAGAATCCTCTGCATAGTCCTGCAGAGACCCTAATTACTACTTGGATTAAGAAGGTGACTGAGGTCCTAGACTGTATTGTGTCCAAGCAGACTCTCTTGACCCATGGATCTTGTCATTCCCAAGTGTCCCAAAGATGTTTTTCATGAGGCAACTGGACTTTCTTGTTTTTCTTTAAAGAGGTTTTCCTTCTCATCCAAGAAGCTTCTTCTTGGATGGTGGGGAATGGAAAGATTTATGCTCCTTGCAGACAGCTAGTCATTTGCCTTCTTTTAGATAGTTGAGGCCACCTGGAAGTTTATCTGAGTTGGCAGAGTCACCTGAGTAGTGCAAATGGGTGTGGAGCCTTCTTGGAACTGTTGAAAAGGACTGTTTTGTAGACTGGAGATGGATGATGTCATATCCCTATCCCGTCTGTTGATAGAGGGCTATTCAATATCATCTATCTCCAGTCTACAACACAGTTTTTTTCAGCAGTTCCAAGAAGGCTCCACACACATTTCCACCACTCAGGTGACCCTGAGGATACAGATAAATCTCCAGGGGGCCTCTAAAAGAATGCAAATGACCAGCTGTCTGCAAGGAATATAAATGCTTCTATTCTCCACCATCCAGTCAGACTGAAGAAGCTTCTTAGATGAGAAGTGAAATGTCTTCAGAAAAAGAACAAGAAATTCCAGTGGCCTCCTGAAAAAGCATCTTTGAAAGAGATGAAATGGATTAAGAGATAATTAGAGTGACACAGGCAGAAAACAAAGAGATAACTTTAGCAAACATGGGTAAGAGCTGCTATCAAAGCCTATTTTATTGTGATTTGTGTGGCAAAGTACAAATACATCTCTGCACAAATGACGTCTGCAGATAATCACCCAGTGGGCCTTTTTGTGTGACCCAGTTGCTCCTGCGGAAGAAAGACTTGGAGGTTCAACTGCAGGGTGTGCTATAGATTTTCCTGAATTTCTAGCAAGATAAAGTTGGTTGGATTCATTCATGACTATTGGCCCAGTAGAGATACCCAGAATATACTTTTGCCTGCTTATCTGGGAACAGTTTGACCCTATAGCTCCTGAGGAAAGATCCTACTGATTATGAGCTTGGCCATCTGTGCTTTAGATCCATGTCTCTTTGCCAGCTAGTTAAGACCTTCTGGATGGTAACATGAGGGCAGGGCTGGTAAGTGCTCTTTGATGAAAGGAGTGGTGCCTCAATACTTTAAGGTGGCTTTGTGTTGGAAGTAAAGTCTTCATCCTGATTCATCCAAGCTGGGAATAAATAAGCAACATGGCGACTGCTTTGGGAAGAAGGTTACAATTTATTGAAAGGGCAGAAAGATGGTTCTTGCAGGAAAGACCAGAGGAAAGAAGAACCTGAACACATGGGCAGCCTTTGGTTTGGAATAGTTTCCTGTTCCTGTGGCATGAACTTTGAACTAAGTCTGAGTGTTTTTCTAGGCCTTGGTATCTGTGGTTTAATCCTATTATGTCCCAAAAGTCATATCCTGCTTCCCTGGGGCTGGGCTAATGACTCTTAGAGTTTGGGTGAGGTATGCAGATTTTAGGTTTCTTTGTCTTCTGGCTCCAGCTTTCCTGATAGTTTTACATCTGCATTTGTATAGGGCTGGCTCCTGCTTGGGGCAAAGAGAATTGAGGGCAGGGTGGGTTTTTGCTTTTGTTGGGGATGACAATTTGGTCACACTGCAGCTTCAGGGATCCTGGATGAAGTCAGGATTCACACCTGGATATGAAATGGAAACTAATAGTCATGCTTTTGATGTTCTCTGATGGGAACAAGATGGTGGTAGTGTGTCAAGTTTCACTCTGCGTAACCTGTCAGAGGCTTTTAATACCATCAATCATGGTATCCTTCACAAATGGCTACATGAGTTGGGAGTGAGGACACTGTGTTGTCTTGATTCAGTTCCTTCCTTCAAGGCTATTTTCACGTGGTATTGATCAAGGTTAAGAGGTCCAATGCCCAGCCCCTGGGGTCCTTGCCTAACAATGTTTGGCACAATGTTGGTCAGCCTGAGGACCCTGAATGGAGACAGGATCAATCAAGTGTTGGTTTGATTGTGTTTCTGCTACCACTGGGGGAGGGGGATCTTATGGATCTTAAATGTTGTAAGATGCCTGGAGTCACCTCTGTGTGATTTGGGGGAGGGGCATATACATTAGTTTAATAAAATAAATAAAATTTTGCATCGATTGCTGGGTTTTGGTAAAACAGTAGTCCTTGCTTAACCATGGTGATTGGGACCAGCAAATCCTTCGCTAAGCCACACAGTCATGAAGTCTAACACCATGTGATTGTGCCAACTAACAGGAATTGTGGAATCCCTGTTGCCATCATGAAGGGAATCCCATGCAGTCACAGTGTCCCTCGAACGTGTGGTCATTATTTAAGATCTTCTGCCAGCTTCTCCATTGTCTTTGCTTGATGGAAACCGGCAGTGAAAGTGGTAACTATATAAACTGAATATATAGATTCCATAAATTCCCTGTAGAGACCCATGCCACCTCTTTGGGTGGTGGCACCTGGAGGAGGGCTTCATTGGATAACCTGAAGTATGGGTAGGTATATATAGGAGAAGTCACTCCTTCAGACAACCAGATCCTACATTGTGGTCAAAACCAGCATTTTGAATTTGGTCTCAAAAAGCACTACTGCATCAGCCAGTGTAGGTAGTGAAGAAATCATACAATATGTTTATTTATTTTGCCTGTTGCAGCAAGCGACTCTTTCTGGGATCTCTTTCAATGGCATTCCAGGTAGTCCTCAACTTACGACCACAATTGAGCCCCAAATTGATGCTGCCAAGGGAAACATTTGTTGAATGGTTTTAGCCCTGTTTTACGACCGTTAAGTGAATCATTGCAATTGTTGAGTTAGAAATAGCAATAGCACTTGTGTCTTATATACCACTTCACAGTGCTTTTACAGCCATCTCTAAGCGGTTTTACAGAATCAGCTTATTGCCCTCAACCCATCTGGGTCCTCATTTTACCGACCTTGGAAGGATGGAAGGCTGAGTCAACCTTGAGCCGGTCAGGATCAAACTGCCAAACCGCAGTCAGCAGAAGTAGCCTGCAGTACTGCATTCTAACCACTGCACCATCACGGCATAGCTAATAGGTGGGGGTTTCTTTTGCTGCAAAATGGCAAAAAAAATGCACTGTGATCACATGACCACAAGATGCTACAATCAGCCACAAATGCCAAACCAGTTGCCCAAAATGCAATCATGTGACTGCAGGGGGGGAGGGGTGGCAGTCATAACTTTAAGGACGGCTCCTAATTTTTGAAGTCCATTGTAACTTTGAATGGTTATTATGCGACTGGCAGCACATCAAGGATTACCTTTATAATTAAAAAACAACTCTAGGTTATCAAACTGGATTTATTAAAAGGAGGCCAGACTGTAAAAACTTTGGCAATTGGATACGTATACTTTAGCATTTTGTTTATTTCCACCTCCATCAGGGTGAGGACTCTCCGAGTCTCCTGCTGTCTACTGAGGTAGTGGGGAGGTATTATCAGCTAAATAAAGCAACATGATAAAGATATTCTGATCCTGAAATATCTTGTAAGCTATTTTCTCTCACAAATTCGGAGAAGTTGCCCTTGAGCCATGTCTTGCTTTGGTTCCTGACAGGATCATGGAATGAGAGAACAGATGAGTTGAGATGGACCTTACAGGTCATCTTGTTCAACACCCAGTCCAATCCCAGAACATCCCTGATGTTTCTTCCATCGTTGAACAGCTCTTGTCATTAAGAGACACTTTCTGTCTTCTGGATAAATTCTACATAAATCAACCAATTTTCTACATGACAGACCTGGAGATACTTAGAAAACAATTGTCATGTTACTGCAGTCCAGGTGCTAAGCAGGCCCAGTGTCAAGCTTAAAGTGTGTACACAATATTGCTATCATTACTGCTTCTTAGTTTGCCAACGCACTCAGGGGGAAAAGAGGGGAGGAAATGGAATGCAGAATCCAAAAAAACCAACCATATGAACCAAGGACGTTTCAACAAGTGTTTGCCCATAAACAAAGATACTTTCCCATAACAATATTTTAACACTTGAACAATGTGACCTGCACTCATAGGGGGAGGGAGAATTCTATATTATTTCTTCTCTGATGGAATACTTTTATGAGAAGCAAATTTGCTACTGAAGGAAATTCCAAATTAAGTGCTTATTAATTGATTAATTCATCGATCAATCAATTCATGATTAATCAATTAATCATGAATTGATTAATCATGTTTCTGAGGTATCACAATTCATTGACAACATTCATACGGCTTTCACCTTCCGTGGATCTTTTTATGAGATGTAAGGTTACTCCTCATACTGAAGCTCTTTCCACACTCCATGCATTTATAGGGTTTTTCTCCTGTGTGGATCCTTCTATGGCAAGTTAGAGAATAGTTAATACTAAAACTTTTTCCACACTCCATGCATTTATAGGGTTTCTCACCGGTGTGGGTCCTTCTATGGGAAGTAAGGGAAGAACGTATAGTGAAGCTCTTTCCACATTCCATGCATTTATAGGGTTTCTCTCCTGAGTGGATCCTTTTATGGGTAGTTAGATCACTGCTAGTAGTGCAGCTCTTTCCACACTCCATACATTTATATGGTTTCTCCCCTGTGTGGGTCCTTTTGTGGGAAGTAAGGGAACTCTTCATACTGAAGCTCCTTCCACATTCGGTACATTTATAGGGTTTCTCCCCACTGTGAATTCTTTTGTGGGATGTAAGATTACTATTCTGAGTAAAACCCTTTCCACAGTCCACACATTGATAGGGTTTCTCTCCAGTATGAATTGTTTTATGGGAAGTAAGGGAACTACTCTTACTAAAGCATTTGCCACATTCCATGCACTGATACGTTTTCTGCCCTGTGAGCTTTTTATTGGAAAAACTCTTACCAAAATTTTCCCCACACTCTACATGTTTTGATGTTTTTGGACCACTGTGAATCCTTTTGTGGGAAGTAAGGTTACTGCTCATGCAGAAGCTTTTCCCACATTCCATGCATTTGTACGGTTTTTCTCCTGTGTGGATTCTTTTATGAGAAGTTAGAGAACTGTTCATACTGAAACTCTTCCCACACTCCACACATTTGTAAGGTTTCACTCCTGTGTGGATTGTTTTATGAAAGGTAAGGGAATAGTTCCTATTGAAGCACTTTCCGCACTCTGTGCATTCATAGGGTTTTTCTCCCGAGTGAATCCTTTTATGGGAAGTAAATGAACTCAACCCTCTAAAGCATTTTCCACACTCTGTGCATTTAAATGGTTTTTCACCTGAGTGGAGTCTTTTATGAGTGGTAAAGGAAGTCAAGGCATTGAAACACTTCCCACACTCCGTGCATTTATACGGCTTTTCCCCAGTGTGGATCCTTTTATGAGAAGTTAGAGAACTTTTCATACTGAAGCTCTTTCCACACTCCGTGCATTTATACGGCTTCAGTCCAGTGTGGATTGTTTTATGAGATGTAAGATGACTGCTCTTGCGGAAGCTTTTTCCACACTCCAGGCATTTATATGGTTTCTCTCCGGAATGGATCTGTTTATGGGAAGTAAGATTATAATTCCTGCAGAAGCTCTTTCCACATTCCGTGCATTTATATGGTTTTTCTACCATGTGGATCCTTTTATGGGCATTAAGATGACTGCTCTTGCGGAAGCTTTTTCCACACTCCAGGCATTTATATGGTTTCTCTCCGGAATGGATCCGTTTATGGGAAGTAAGATTATCATTCCTGCAGTAGCTCTTACCGCACTCCGTGCATTTATATGGTTTTTCTACCATGTGGATCCTTTTATGGACATTAAGATGACTGCTCTTGCGGAAGCTTTTTCCACACTCCAGGCATTTATATGGTTTCTCTCCGGAATGGATCCGTTTATGGGAAGTAAGATGATCATTCCTGCAGAAGCTCTTTCCGCATTCCGTGCATTTATATGGTTTTTCTACCATGTGGATCCTTTTATGGACATTAAGATTACTGTTCTTGCTGAAGCTTTTCCCACACTCTGTGCATTTATATCTTTTATCTATACTGTCAAAATCTTGGTGTAAAGTAAGAAGAAGGTCCCAACTACATTTTTTATCATCGTCCCTACATGCATATGGAGAGATGAGGGATTTCTCCATGTCTCTATTTAACTGGCTTCTCTTGGGACTTTCTGGTCTGCACTGGTTTCCAAATCTCTCTCTTCTGATTTCAGTTTCAAGAGATTTTGAAAAATCCACAACTTGCTTTGTATAATTCTCGGTCTCCAGCCCATCACCTGCTTGGGACAAAAAAAGAAAGATAAAATTTCATGAGATACGAACATAGGATATCCATACAGAAATGGTATGAAGATTTTAGCTTTTCCTACAGGCGGTGCAGATACAATACTCTTCTTTTCCATAGACAGAAAAATACCAGATCAGAATTTCATCTATTAAATAAATCAGCTAGCTATTTTTTTTTACTAGAATAGCAATAATACTTAGACTTATATACTGCTTCACAGTGCTTTACAGCCCTCGCTAAGTGGTTTACAGAGTCAGCATATTGCCCCCAACAATATGAGTCCTCATTTTATCAACCTCGGAAGGATGGGAGGTTGAGTCAACCTTGACCCAGTGAGAATCGAACTGCTGGCAGTTGGCAGAATTAGCTTGCAGTACTGCATTCTAACCACTGTGCTACCATGGCTCATATATCTTCCAGTATTACTGAGCCCAGAGGAAAGAAACTCCCTTACCTAAAAAGACCACATTGTTTGCATTTTCCAGCGCCACCTCTTTGTATAGAGATTTTTGTTCGCAATTCAGCATGGCCCACTCCCCCTCGGAGAACAGCACCGCTATATCTTCAAAGGTTATGGGCTCCTAACACAGAAAGAAAAAAAATTCCCAATTAAGTGGACATTTCAGGAACTTATCAAGTCTTCTAGCTTAATGGGAATAACTTAAAACGATTCTATAGAATCTTCAATATCCTCCAGGAATTAGAAAAGTAGAAGCTGCTCATGATCCAAAAGCTGGCTAGAAGGATTTAAATTAATAAAATAAAATAAAATAAAATATAAAATAAAATAATAAAATAATATAAAATAAAATAAAATAAATAAAATAAAATAAATAAAATAAATAAAATAAATAAAATAAATAAAATAATAAAATAAAAATAAAATAAAATAATAAAATAAAAAATATAATAAAATAAAATAAAAAATAAAATAAAATAAAATAAAAAATAAAATAAAAAATAAAATAAAAAATAAAATAAAATAATAAAATAAAATAAATAAAATAAAATCATAAAATAAAGAAGATGGCACTGGAAATGAGATTTGAACCATTAAGGATGGAGTAGGAATCTCTTTGTAGAAATCACATTGGTACTAGATCTCATTCCTACCTGAGTTGGAAGTACAACCACTGTATCTGTTCCAACACAATGAAGAGATGTTTCCACAGGTAGCATCACTGTTGTACCATTTGCCAAGATAGAGATGAAAAAAAAACAAATAATTACATGTTTTAAAAACATCTAGCACAGTTTGGTCTGGTAGTTAAGACATCAGACTAGAAACGTGGAGTCCGTGAGTTCTAGTACCACCTTAGCCATGAAAGTCAGCATGGGTGACGTTGAGACAGTCATTCTCTCTCAGCCCAACCCATCTCACAGGGTGGTGGTTGTGGGAAAAATAGGAGGAAGAACGTGTGTTGGGTATGTTCACCCTGCAGTTATTTGTAAAAATAATAAAAGTGGAATACAAATTAAAAAACAATGCTAAATACAGTGGGTTTCTTACATACAGAGCAAAAGTTTTTTTTTCTTTTTAAGACCCTATAATCTCTTAATTTGGGATAGATCTGAGGTGACAATCGAATCGAATTATAAAGTGGAAGGGATCTTGGAGGTCTTCTAGTCCAACCCCCTGCTCAGGCAGAAAAGTCTATACCATTTGGGACAAAAATAGAATAGAGCTGAAAAGTTCACTGGCAGTTCCCTCCCTCCCATCCAGGACATAGCACAGAAGCGTTGCTTGAGCAGGGTCCATAAGATTATCTGGGACACTACACATCCTCTTCATGATCTGTTTTCCTTGCTACCTTCTGGGAGGTGGGGGCTTTGTGGTATCCGTAGCAGAACATCCAGATTCAGCCATAGTTTCATTCCATACAGCATTAACCTTGTGAACTCTCAAGCTTCCTCCTTCCATTATATATTCAAGGCAATGGACAATATTTAATATTTATTTGTCATGTATATGTAGGAATGTGGGTCTATACATACATTGTATATAGCATGTTTAGGTGTGTGTCGTGTATGTGTTTCATTTTGAGAGCAGGCAACTAAATTTCATTTTTGATGTGCCCACAGTAAAAAAAATGACAATAAAGGTTATCTTATCTTATCTTATCATCTTATCTTATCTAGATGCTCTTCCTGATGCTATATCTGTCTGTACCTAGGACTGAACTCTCAGCTTTCCAAGTGGGAGGCGAGCGTCTTCACCACTAGGTTACCACGCCACTCATGTAGAGAGCTGAAGTATTTTTGCAAAACAAGATCATGAAGAGTTCAGGCATTATGGACATTATGGACCAGAAGAGCCTTCCTTTACCTGAAGATGGAGCCAGAAGTGGTTTCTCCTGGGAGATTCCCTCCAAGACCAGCTCCTGAGGAGGATATGTTTCACAGTGTTCAATGGCCATCTCAATGAAGGGCTTCTGCGCCTGGAACAATAGTCAAGAAAAAAAGGACTGCATTACTCCCTAGTGCAGACATGTCAAACTCGTGATGTCACGTGACATCGCGCGACGTATCAGAGCTTTTTCCCCATTGCCGGCAATGGGGTGGGTGTGGTTTCGTGATGCGTCCGGCCTGTGGGCCGGCAGTTTGACACCCCTGCCCTAGTACTTCGAACACCACACTCCACCTTCATATTGTCAAGACTGATTTGCTTTTTCACCTAGATTTTTTCTTCTGTTCATATCTTGACGGTGGAGTGCAAGGGAGGAAGGAATGGTATCTAGGCAACCGAGAGCCCAAGGCCAGCTCTTGAAGGAGAAGTGGACTATTCCTGTCAGGTCCCCATAGATCCCTACCAGGACACTGCCATTCTGATGGGAGGGGTGAATAGTTTTCTGGCTTTCTGGTGGAAAGGGGGGGTACTTGGGACCTTTCTAGGATGTATACATTTTTGCTTTGTTCCTCTTTTGCTTTCATGTATCTTCCTGGGAATTGGGAGGGGGGAGGAAGGATGAGCCCTGGGGCCGTCTGGTTTGCCTCATCTCCAGAGAACCCTGCCTGCTACCAAGGTCGCGGCGCCTGAAAACAACTTGTTATCACCTTTTTGGCTCAGAGTTCTCACAACACCTTTGCACCATTGGATTGGCTCTCTACCGACTGGACAATTTGGAGGGGTTTGAATGATGGGGGTTTAACCTAATGTTTCGCGCAGGGAGCTTTAGATCCTGCCTGCTTTGTCTGCAATCACTTTCTCTCAATAAAAGATCCTTTTAAAATGATGTCTGTTTCAAGAGTTAAGCTTTCTTGAGGGAATAGCTGAGGTGAGACCTTACAGTTTCCATAACAAGAAGAAATATTACTATTGGACAATGTGAACTCCTGGTGGGTGGGGGTGAGGGAGTCTATTGTTTAACTAAGCAGGTTTTCGAGCGGAAAAACCAGAGCTGGTTTCACTTTCTTCTGTGCCAATGTAAATTTTCAGTAAAGTATTATATGCTTGGTAAAATCATGTCCCAGGAGTTTCTTTTTCTGGAAATGTCAACTGTATAGTTGACACATATATCCTCAAAAAGCTTCAAGAGCACACAAAAGAATATCTAAAGTGGAAATCTCCTCCTAACCATACTAGTTGCAGAAAAGAACATTTAAACATTCCATAACATTGTTTTCTACAACTTCCATCTTTTGAAATGATATTGTCTCACTTGCATCTCTGCCAGATTCTTCTCTGTGTGTCTCAAGAGGAAGCCTTCTGCCAGGGCCACTGCCTGGGAGGTGGTCTCTGCTCCACATTCCCGGACCCAGCTCTTCATTTCCTGAGGTAAGATGGCCAGGAACTGCTCCAGGACCACCAGATCCAGCATTTGAGCTTTTGTGTGCTGTTCTGGGTTCAACCACTGACGGCAAAAATAGTGGAGCTGCGAGCAAACCCATCGAGGTCCTTCAGCCTTCCGGTAATGGAAATCCCTGAAGGATTGTCTTTGTACATTGAAGGTCATCATTGTCCCTTCAAGATCCGGTATCTTCTGCCTGATACTTTCCCTTACTTTCACCCTGTTGTCTTTGTGAAGAGGAAGAAGACATGTGGCTGCTCACTCATATTCTGGTCTTTCTCCATCCATGTTCATTCTCTGCTCTTCAACATCTCCCCAAGGGTGAAAGATAGGACCTGTGGTGGTGCAGTGGTTAGAATCTAATATTGGAAGTTAATTCTGCCCACAGCCAGGAGTTTGATCCTGATCGGCTCAAGATTTAGTTAGCCTTCCATCCTTCTGAGGTTGGTAAAATGAGGACTCAGATTGTTGGGGAAAACAGGCTGACTGTATAAACTGCTTAAAGAGGGCTGTACAGCACTATGAAGGGGTATCTGTCTAAGTGCTATTGCTGTTGCTATATCCAAGTCTCTTTTCTTTGCAGGATCGTAATGTCAGGAAGAGGTTTCTCTTGAAAAACCTATAAGGGTCTTTGGAGACATGTTATCTTGGTCTCTCTCCAAGGAGGAACTGTACTTCTCACTCACAATCTAAAGTGGAAAGTAAAGAAAAGAGCATTAATTTTTCAGTAAATTATAGATCAGGGGGTTGAGAGAACAATACTGTTCAGAAATTTCCGCAGTGTTTGAGTTTACTAAGAAAACTCCTCCGCGATTAATGTTCGCAGAGAAGATCCACAAAAAGGGGCCTTTTCAGATCAGCCACAGCTCCATCTGTCTAAGGCAGACATGTCAAACACAAGGCCCGGGGGCCGGATGCGGCCTGCGAAGTGATTTCATGTGGCCCATGAAGCCATCC